CCCAACAACCCCTAAATCCTACACCCCAAACCATAAGCATGAACCCTAAGTAGCGTTTACCGGTTGCTTGGTGGCCCAGGGCATTCCGCTTCACAACATCCCCGACATCCGAAGGTCACTCTTGGCTGGACCGTACATAGGGTCGGAAAGATGACAAACATGAGGGTTTGGGGTTTCTCGGTTTCGGGTTTAAGGCCTGCGAGAGGGAGTCCTTCTTATTGCCGACAGGATCGTAGTGTGGGGTGTGTAGCGTTGAGTGCTCATGGTGTGCACTTCGTAGCATTGTGTATGCCTTCGCAAGCTGGGACTGTAGCGTTCTTTAGCACTAGGGATTCGGTTATCGTGTGTTAAAGCAAGGCCCGCGCGTTCATCCTACATCCTCAGTTGCCCAATAAGTACCGTACGGCCCTACGAATGTGCTGTTGCACAGGGTGTAGTTGCACGGTACCTAAAATTGGACCAACCTGCTTTTGAGAAGGCTCTTAATATCAAACCTGACACAGGTTGCACGTGAACCCTGAAAAAGGTACATGATCGGTTCCAAATGTTGGTGGTTGATTGCCCTTCCACAATCCAGCTCTGTGTCCTACTTGCAGGTCAACAAGTGGGTATAACTAGGTAGAGTTTGAAGTTTAAAGTTGTACGAAGTCCCTGAATAGTTTTACTACACAGACCCAACGCTTTATTCTAGCTGTCAAGGCACCGTTTGTTTCTGCGCAGTTGCAACTGTGGTTGCGTTACTTGCGCCCTGAAGCTTGAATGAACCTTCACTCAATGGGAGGACAACGTTCACTAGATTTGGCAAATTGCAGAAACACAAGCTCCTAAATCCCATGTCGTGTTTGTTAACAGCTCACTGTCTCTCCAAACCCTTGGATTCAACAGAGACAACTATCGAATATGGTCAGTACATATTTATTGCTCAGGCTTGCTCCCATTTCTGTTCTTGCGTTTTTGTTCCAACGAGACAAGCCCCGTCCACCCATGTATTCAACATCCGATGGCCCCCTAAAGTCCTACCATGGACATGCCGTGGAGCAGGCGTAGCCAGCATGGAAACTACACAGGCTGTAGGGTCCTTGCTAAACCGACCCACACGCACTCAAGCGCCGTACCCGACGCACAAAACTTGCTGCTGCAGATTCTATGGCTATGACCCGCTCGAGCCTGAGTGTTCCAGAACTCTGCAGCAGGGTCTTAGTCATAGTTGGCTTTGCAGTTGCACTCCAGTAGCACAAGGTTCTGTCCTGCCTCCGGCAAGGGATTCTAGGTTCCTTTGCAAAACTCAGCTTCGACAACAGGATGCCCTAATTGTGGCATGATTGCTGGGCTGCCGTTTCACTCAGTCAGGTGGGAAGCCAGACGAGGTCTGAACTCCGTGAAGACCGCGAGCCCTGAACCCCAAACCCGAAATCCCAATCCTCCACTTGCCGTTCTTCTGGTTGGCTCTTAGGACTTTAACTTTTTGGGTTCTATATAACTATAATAAGGAGACTAAAAGTTCAACTTTTTGGAGGGTTTCTGAAGTCAGCCAAGTCCAGATCTTCCACCTATTGAAATCCCAAGCCTGCCTTGCCTTTTCCTCCAAACATCCCTGTGTCGACCCTCAGCAACAAGAAACCCTTTTAGAAGTTCTGAATAAAGAACTTCCGTGTGCCCTGCACTAGATCCGGCATGCCTGTTCGAGGGCCGTTTGACGTTGGGGGCTTTTGGGAGCCCTCAACCCTTATACTGTTACATCTTTCTTAACCGACAACCTGAACGCTTAAGCCTATAGCAGGCCCCGGGTTTAGATGTTTTAGAACTCTATTTTGTTGATTCCAGGGTTTATTGGTTTAGGGGTTTAGGGTTTAGAGGTTTAGAGGTTTAGGGTTTCGGGTTCTCAAGTTTTGAGTGTGGCAATGCTTGTGCTACCTTGCTGAGGACTGAGTGCTCCAAGATCGATTTCTTCGCGGTGGACTACCCGCCCATCACCGCGGTCCGCTCCCCGTGTGTCGCATATTGCTTTCGGGAGCCTCAATTCCCAACAGGTCCTAGGTAACATTATGCGGCATGCTTCCCCCAATTCACAAAAGTAATTCCAACCATAGAAAGCCTACCTTCCCTAAACCCTAAGCCCTAAACCCTACCTACATTCAATTCACAACAGTAATTCCAACCATAGAAAGCCTACATTCCCTAAACCCTACGCCCTAAACCCTATCTACGTTCAATTCACAACAGTAATTCCTACCATAGAAAGCTTACATTCCCTAAACCCTAAGCCCTAAACCCTACCTACATTCGATTACAGAGGTACTTAGGGCCCTTAGAGGTTGCTAAGGTATGGGCTCCAGGTACAGCAGTGAAGTCCACGTTGTCAACGCTCCGTGAGACTGGGTTTAGCGTTTAGGGTTATAGGGTTTAGGGTTTTAGGGTTTAGGGTTTAGCTCCAGTCCCAAGAACGCAGCGTTTGGGGTTTTTGGTTGAGTAACTAGGAACGTTAAACTCGATCAATCCTAAACCCTAAAAACCCTATGTCCTACGCCCTAAATCCCAAGCCCTTAACCGGGGTCTTTAGTCCTTATAGCATGCTTATCAATCATCATGTTGGTCCGTTTTATTGACACTCCACATGAAGATCCCGATTCAGAATCAGGTCTGTCTTTATCGAGCTCATGCGATTTTCCTGAATGAATGCGCCGTCAGGGTTAATGAGGTGCAATGTTCAGGTTTCGTTGCTGATGGGAGCTGAGGATTTACGGGCTTGTTGAAGGAGGACCATACTGTATATAATTGTATAATGGTTCAAACACAGGGGTATCTGGCGACTGTTTGGGAAGGTCCTGGAAAGCCCAACCAGCCAGCAGCAGCTATTTTTTTGATGATCATGTTGAGCTTTCTGTAAGTAAGGACCTTGGCAGGATTGGTGTTCATGCGTGCGAATCCGAAACCCTTTCCTTCGAAAATGCTGCATATCCACTCCAACAGCTTTTCAAGCCTGAAGGAAAGCGGAAGCTATGAGCAACTATAACCCCATGCCTGAAGCGCGCAGTCACCGAAGGCCACATGTTTCAGCCCCATATCTTCAGTACTGACAGCCCATGCGCTCAGCCCAAAGCCATGAACCTCGAACCCCAGTCAATATAGGTCGGAAGACTTGGCAGCACTATCCCCGTATAGTCCCCATGTTGTTATAGTATGATATGCCGTCCAAACCGTATTGTAAGTATTACGGCCCCCTAGAGTAGCCCCAAAGTTCCAAACGCTGCCGCCAGCATTGCTGCGCCTCGCGCATCACTGCGGAGAATCCGGACGAAGGCTTCAAGCCCACCAGCGGCAAGATCAACAGCGTGAGGCGGGTTTCTTAGCCTTCAGAAGCTGCGATTATAAAGGACGTAACCCTCCCCCCTCAACCCTGTGCCCGTTGAGGGTCATAGGGTTTGGGCCCGAAGCCCTGAACACTTGGGTTTTCGCACTAGCAGGAACTGGAGGCGAATTTTCTAGAAGCACAGAAACCCCACCAGTTCAAGTTTTACAGCTTAACACGGCTCATTGTTTGTGGCTTGGGCTTCTGGACGGAAGGACTCAAAGTGTCAGGCTGGTGGGTTTCGGGGCTCCAACATCCCGAAGCCAAGGATGGGCGAAACCCAAAGGACAGAGGTTTCCAGGTAAGGGCAAAAGGCACAGATTCTTGCTGACCCCGAATGACACAGTCGAGTATAGGGATTCGACAAGAGAGCTGGCAGGGTTTGCTGCTTAGGGTTTAGGGTTTAGGTTATCTGCTGATTCCCTAGTAACCTGGTAAGGCTGGCAGGACGACCGGAGAAGGGGCAACTTGACATTGCATGTTGGGGAGAGAGTTGGGGTACTTGGGAATGTGGGCATGCCGACTGTTAGGTTAGGACTGAGACTCTGGATCCTGATCCTGCGAATTTCCGAGTATTTGCTGACAGTAACGATCTGTCCTCACCTAGTTTTCTGAAACTCGCATGTCCTCCCAGCCTAAACCCAAACCCTAAACCCAGCTGTAAAGGACTTCAAGATGTGAGAGACTGACATGACATCCTGGAGGGTTGCAGGACGCACTGCTTGGCCTTTGGACGACCCTGGTGTTTTCGAGTGCACCCAAAGTTGCTGGCGAAGAGCCTGCAAACCCTAGACCCTAAAACCCTAAAACCTAAAACCCTAAAGCCCCTAAACCCTGGCTGCTGTTGGCAAAGAGTTCTCCAGGCAGGTCTGGCACGAATTCTCTGAGGTAGGGCCAATGAAGGATCGCGGACCAAGGGCTTTAAAGTCAGGGCCACGAAAGCTTCCTGCTGGTCCATGTGCCTATATACCTAGAGTCTCTATTGTAGTTCCTTTTTTTTTTTGTGGGGGGGGGGGTACCTTATAGGATGCTTACCAATCAATTTGGTTAAACCCCCAAAAGAACTACAATGGAGACTGTACGTCGAATGTACTTTGGCCCTAAAGTGCATAGATAAGGACTACTTTCGGGCGAAAAGTATATACTGTACGAGCCCGCATGGTGCGAAGATCCGGCTGTATTGTTTCCCCAGCAAGTAATGCATTGTGCAGCCGAGAAATAGGCCTTTGGAGCCATCTGTATCGAATGTACTCATAACACTCGCATGCAAAGCCAACGAGGCAACGAAAGAAAGTCTACGGAGTATGTTCTCCGTAGCTGGGTCGGGTGCACTAGATTCACTAGCTGGTCCAGTGGTAGCCCGCACCCTACACCTTAGGCTCCAACCTCTGAGCCCTGAACCTGTGGAATCTCCTCGAAACCCCAAGCCCTAAACCCTAAAGGCCATGGAGCCATTGCTGAGCAGGTTCCAGTCTGCCGGTGATTGCTGGGGCTACTTCAGCGTCGGCCTGAAGGCATCCTTTTCGGGTTTACGGTTGTAAACCTCAAACACTAAACCCAAAACCCCGAAGCCTTGGCGCTAGATCGTACTGAGCTTGTCTTCTCGCTTATGTGTGTGTATAGGGTTTAGGCTTAGGGTTTAGGGTTTAGGGCTATGTATGCAATATAGATGTATGTATGTTGGTACACATTGACATAATTAGAGGGCATTCAACTCTGTACTTATAGCTGGATGTAACCGTATGTACATACACACATAAAACACACAGATACATATCTAAATCTAATCACTTGGACATACATACATATGCATTCACACATGTTTATGTATTTTCATTCATGGTCTATGTGCACAGAATGTCTCTAAGTTTCGAATGCCGGTACAGTCCCATTCTGATTTTGGGTTCAGGGGTATTGATTCAGTCGCATATGCAGCATTCGCTTTTAGATTGGGGTTTGCTGTTTCGGCTGGTTGGTGGGGTGCTTGGCTTTGCGGTCTGGATCGTTCGGGATGTCTGAGCGGGAGAGGAGCCAGACGCCCACCAAGACCAAGCAAGGGTTCTTGAACCCTGAAACACCAGACCCCAAACAAAAAAACCCTCTCAAACCCTCAGCCGCCCTACCACCCGTCGAACCAAGTACCTCAAACCCTATGAAGATCTTAGCCAAACTTACAATGGCTTGAATCCTGTTCCATTGCATAGAGAAGCAGTCTAAGCCCCAAAGACAAAGGCCTCTCTTCAAACCTCGTATAGACTTTCCCAAGCATTCAACAGAAGTAGAAGTCCTCATTGGGGCCCACAGCAGCTATCAACTTCTATGAGGCTCCATGAAGCTGAAACGCCCACTCAGAGGGTCAACTGGAAGATATGTCTATGTGGGTAGTTCTTTAAATTAGGGTCCCAATTGGGGTCCTTTTTATAAGGGTGCCGTACTAAAAGGGGACCCTAATTTAGAAAACTACCCATGTGGAGGTGTGTGTGTGTGTGTAACAGTGTAGATACTGATACAGATACTTATGCATACAAGCCGGGTCCGAAGTGCTGCGACTGGGTTTGCAGTGACTCCTAGCTGCCGTCCAGGACCGGATCCCACTTTTAAAGGCTCAAAAACCCAAAGACCCTAAATCCCCGAACCCTTAAATCCTAAACCCTAAATGCCCAGCCGCCGAACCCCTACACCCTAAATTAAATCCCAAACCCTAAATGCCCAGCCCCAAATCCTAAACCCAATACGCCCAGCCCGTAAGCGGCAAACCCAAAGACCCTGGACCCTTAACTTCGGAGGCCTCAAAAGGGTGGGATGAAGGCAAATAGGATTCAGGGCCCCTTCTATAAGGACTCTAAACCCTAAACCCTATAAACCCTAAACCCTAAACCCTAAACCCTAAACCCTAAACCCTAAACCCTAATATGTTGGGATTGCCCCACTCACCTTCATCCCACCCTTGGAGCCCTTTGAAAAACTCCCCCATCGCCATAGCCTGGCGAGCCTCAACTCCCAGAAGATCCCAATGGTTTTGGGGTTTAGGGTTAAGGGTTTAGGGTGTGTAGGGTTTAGGGTTTAGGGTGTATGTGGTTTAGGGGTGAGGGTTTAGGGTTTAGGGGTTCAGAGTTAGGGTCCCTCACCTGATCCTTCTGAAATTCTGCGCCGAAACGGTTCTTAGGGACCCAAACAGGACGTAGGCAGAAGCATTTTATAGTCATATCCGTACCTTATTGGGCTTCGTTATAAGGGGTTCATATGAGATATCCCTATCCTAGCTTTTGATTATGTGCTTTCTTGGGGCCCTGAATGAACCTTAACAAAACCCCTACCTCTGTTCAACATGTGGTTGAAAGCCCAAATCACCAGCAGCACCCAGCCCTGCACCGTGTTTGAAGCCAAGCCTTGGGACCTTCGACCGTATTTCAATCTTAGCTACCCACGCGAAACCCAAAGTCTATCTAGAGCCCTAAACCTTAGATCTGGAACCTCAAAGCCCTGAAGGGTCAGGGTGGCATTCTAAATGCTAACCGCTAAGATCCCTGGAGCCCTAAACCCTAAACTCTGAACCCCTAAACTCCCAAGCCCCTAATTCCTAAACCCTAAACCCTAAACTTTAACCCCTAAGCCCTAAACTCCAAACTAAAGAGCCGTGATGTGTCAGGGTGGCATTCACGAGTTCGCCGACTCGCAGTTCGGTCACATCTTTGCCAAGGGCCCGAACCGTGAAGCCGCGAGGAGCGACAGTTTAGGGACCCCAAAAGTATGTAGAAAAAAAGCTATTTGTAGGTGTTGGGCCATTATTTTTACTACTCTTGGCGGGTTAGGAAAATTTTAGGGTTTAGGGGCTTCCAACCCTAAACCCTAAACCCTGAAACCCTGAAACCCTAAACCCTTCTAGAACTTCGGGGTTCTCCCGTTCTCTCGCGTTCATAGTGTTTAGGTTTACATTAGGCTCGGGGACTTGGACTGGGTGGTTTTGTGGGGGGTCGAGTCTACAGTGGCTACGGGCTTGGAGTTGAGGGCTTAGGGGCTGCAGGATTGAGGGCCTTTAGGGTTTAGGGGTTAGGGGTTAGAGGTTTAGGGTTGAGGGTTTAGGGACCTTGGGTTTAGGGTTTAGGGGTTAGAGGTTTAGGGGTTTAGGGGTTTAGGGCTTAGGGGTCAGTCGAGGGAGTCGAGTTCGTAAGCGAAGATGCAGCTACCGCGAATTTAGGGCTCCAGCTCTGTGGTTTGGGGTTAAGGGGTTTAGGGCTTGGGGCTGATCTGCATAATGGTCTGGTGATGGTCACAAGTCATGATCGGCTTAGAGGGCTTACCTTTCAGGGGAATCCCCTTAGCCCTAGCCTGCGCGCATCTATTCGATGATGCAACTGAGCCTTCCAAACCGGAGTCCCTGGCCGCAGTCGAGACGCCGGAATGCGGCCAGAAGAGGCGAGGGAGGAACGGGAGGAGCCCTGGATCCCCAAGAGCCGTCTCTTCTCGCCCCAGGGCGTCGGCCCCCCGCAAGGCGTAAAAGAAAGGACGAGGAGCCGCCCGAGATGGAAGATGGAGAGGATGCTCCGGCCGAGGCCATGGCTCGCTCGCGATCTGAAGATCTCCCTTTTTTTAGGACATCCGGTTGTAAAGCAAAGGCCGCGAATCCTTCTAAATTTCTGGGACCAGGGCTGTAGGCCACAGATGATTAACCTTTTCACGGAGCCGTATAGGCAGACGCTCAGTTGCTTCCAAAACTCCGAAGCCCTCAACTTTATAGAAGCCCTTATGGTACCCTAAGCTCCGAGATCATGGCGGTTGCTTCTAGCAGCGACTTTCGCTAAGATGCTTGTTTCAATTTGGCGAACGTCCAGGACGGTTGGCGTGATATGGCGTGATGCTTTCACTGCCAAGCATAGGTCGGAATCCTGAGAAGACTTTGTGCACCTGATTTCCCGTGATGCCTTTCAGACGAGCCTCAAATCCTTGATCGATGAAGTGCCGGGTTTAAAGGACAGCCGCTTGGTTCTTGTCGGGTTCCTGGGGGCATGGCAACCTGGCTGGACTGCGGCGCAATCATCGGCAGCCAAGCATGTTCCGAAAGATGTTGATGACTAGCCTAGACCCTAAACCCTAAATCGGAAATGCAATTACAGCCAACTCTTGTAAGCGCCTGCCGGGCTCTGGGCCTTCAGGATTAAGGGTTTATGTTGGTTGTGGACTCGCTTGTCTTAGTGGATCGAGGCTTTGGTGCTGTCTGGCAGGGACTCATATCCCACGTGGCATAGACTTGTGGCCTGAAGAGGGTCTTTACAGTACGCAGTCCTTATTAATATATATATATATATATATTTATTTATTTATTTATTTATTTATTTATTTATTTATTTTACTTATTTATTATATATATATATATATATCCGCTTTGCGGCCAACGTCTATATACGTGGGTACATGGACCTCTGCAGCTGTTGCGAAAGGTGTTGGCATTTGCTAGCTGCACGAGGGCTTTGTGGTTGCCGTTTTCTGGGGACAGTCTGTTTGAAGGTTAGCACGTTTTCAGCAGTGATTCCTCTTAATTGAACAACATCTCTCCTGATTCAGACTCATTCCGTGCTTCACGGTGTCTTGAGCCCACAGCACTATGTTCATTCGCTTCCCTGCCCGAAGCTGCATGGCTGTCGGGCCCCTGTGGTTCTGTCCCGGATCATCGACCCTAGTCCCTAAACCCACCCTAAACCCCTACTGTTGATAATATAACCCTGCATTACCTTAAGGACCCTGAACTATGGGAGTTGTGGTATATTCCTTAATTATGGGTAATGCAGGATTTATATCATCAGCTGCATGGATCCACTATACTAACCCGCTCAAAGGCCTGAGCAGGAGCCCTGCATTGTGCCGGACACACTTCCATGATATTTTCCGCAGGAAGAGCTTGCGATTTGCACTGATGAACCTGGACATCTCCGGTGACATTCGTCATCCGGTTTCTTGCCTTAAGTTCGACTTCGTAGACTAATAGCACTACATGTTCCAAGCCCCTGACCGCAAATCCCTGAGCTGGAGAAACGTGCCCCACACGGCCCGATGAACAATCACTCATGCATCAATAGCCCAAAATACACCTAAATTGGCTTGCCCTTAACAGCATGTATAAGACGGCCCATTCAAGTAAGCCATAAAAAGCCCCTTCGACCATTCCCAAACAATGTGAAACTCTCCTTTCTAAGGACCTGCGTTCCCATTGGCCCCTCTTTTCAATTGACACTTTTAGGGGCAACTTCGACGTGGGCTGTGTGCCAAGTCTAGGTCTAGGCTATAGGGTTTATAAATAGGGTTGTAGACTTGCTGAGGTGGACTACTTGGTTGACCTGCTGGAGACCAAGGCATACAAGGAGCGAACGGACACCTTTGGGATTCGGGGTCAACGATTGACGGATTTAGGCTTTGGAGTCATTTCTTCTGATTTGAAGCTTTTGGAAAGCAGACTGCAGAGTGTTTTTTGGCTACGTGGCTTGAGGGGCGCTTCCGGCTGTACTCCTTGAACTATATACCGAAACAGAACCCACACACAACCCTAAATCCCAAACCGTAAACACACACACACACACAGACACGGTTCTGCGGTGCGGGGGGAGGGATGGTGATTTGTTGCTCTTCGGAACTATGTTACATTGCCGTGATATGCAAACTTCAAAGGTATGGTTGAAATTCGTAGGCTTATTATGTTTCTGAGGGCGCTTAAGATTTGTGGGTTTGGGGGTGATTTGGCATTGAACCAGGACGGCCGGTAGAGAAGCTGAGTTTGGGACTGCATACCAAGGAGCAATGTCGGGGCCTTCATGGCTGGAATAGGGTCTTGTGGGTTCCTTGTTCATTCTATTTATATGACAACACGTTAGAGCCCCAAAATCCTATTCTAGTTATTTATAGGCCCCTACTATAGTAGTTGGGAAGAGGCGAGGGGCATTGTAATAAAGCCTCGAGCCTTTCACGGCCCTCCTCCTCGCCACGATGCGAAATCGATTTCTGTTTCCCGAGTGTCAGGAAAGTCGGTGATTTCGGCACGCAGTCCAGAAACCGAGGCCATCGGCCGAGCAAGTTAAGCCCCGAACCTAGATGAATGCAGCACCAGTCACAAGGAGAACACCATTGACACCATGTGGCTGGACGGGCCGGAAGCCTAGCAGCGTCACTGCTACCTGGTTATCCCACAGCTGCCTAGCAATGAGTCTCCCAAAGAACGCCAGAACATACACCCAAGTCATCAAAGCTGGTAAAGAGACATGCCACTTAATCTAGCCCACACAGCACTCGACAAGCGCAATGCATTCGTGAGCATCACCGCCATGGTCACCATAGCCATCGTCGGAGCGATCACAAAATCAACGTCATTATCATCATCGTCATCATCATTAGCGTTGTCCTTGTGCTTCCCTGCATCGACAACACGATCATGGTCACTGTCCTTTGCAAGAAAATATTCTTCAGCTCTTTCTGTATCACTCCTCCTCTTCCTCCTCCTCCTCCTCCTCCTCCTCCTCCGTCTCCACTTCCTCCTCCCTCCTCCTCCTCCTCCTCCTTCTCATCCTCCTCCCATCCCTCCTCCTCCTCCTCTTCCCACTTCATCACGGTCCGCATCATCTTCGTTATCACCACCGTCATCATCAGCACCATGATCATCGTCAATATCACCGTAATTGTCATCGTCATCACTGCCGTCGTCATCATCACCATCCGCCCCTGCGTCACTTGAATCATGGTTGACAGTTCTTGTCGTCTTCACCTTCGCGACTATTAGAGCCCTTCTGCCATCATACAACCATCATCATGATCATGATCATCATCATCATCTTGATCATCATCTTGAATGTCACTATCAGCACTGCACTCCCAACAGCACAGCCTCAACATCAGCAGCATTCTCGTCCGCTCCTCCACCTCCTCCTCCTCCTCCTCCTCCTCGTCCTCCTCCTCCTCCTCCCCCTCCCCCTTCCTTGCTTCGGACAGTCCAGCATAGCCTAGAGGAAGCAGTTCTCCTCAAGTTGAAATAGGTTCCAGCAAAACAGACTTTCTGCAGGCTTCTGGAGTAGCCTGCAAGGATAGCGACTTCTTCCGTCCGTAGCACCTGTTCAGATCTACAGCAGTCTACGCCCCTCTCGCCCGGATGCTCCTGGATTAGCGTTTTGCTTCAGGCTCATCGCCAGCAAGGCAATTGCACCGAGCACAGCAGTGATGGATGCCGCACAGCCGCAGATGGTTCAGGGCATGGCTTTGGGGTTAGGGGTGAGGGCTCTTGGGTTGGCTGGGGTGGGGGCAGGGCGATGGGATATGGCTCGAGTCAGCTGGAAATCCTTATAACACCCTCAGGAAGCGTGGTATGAGGCCCACATTATAACACCTTGCAGCTCATACCAGACCACAACACACCCCCGAGTGACTTGGGCCCTTGCCATAACAGAACGGTTACAGCTTCTGTCAAGTTCTTCGAAACTTCTAAAACGCTACATTGCACTTGCAGGCCGCGGAATTGCCAAGGGTCTTTTAGGACCTTGTAGAGTTTCCTCAGGTTTACAGTACTTCATCAGGCTCTTTCAGGCACTTACGGGGATTTATCACGGTGAGTCGGACCCTAAACCCTCAACCCTAAACCTTAAACCCCAAGGATTGACAGTGGGTTTCATCAGGTTTGCAGGGCCTCATCAGGGTGAGCCCTATACCGCCAACCCTAAATCCTGAACCCTGGTCTCCCCTTACAGGGTTTAGGGTCTCCCCTTAGAGGAAGCCCCGCCCTAAGCCTAAACCCTCCTAAACCATCTTGGCACAACCCTAAACCCTAAACTCTAAACCTTGCCTGACGTGTCTGGAGGTTGTCTTCTACGCCGCGGTGTACCGAGCCTTCTCCATGGTCAAAGCCCGCACGCAGGACGTGGGTTCAGGGGTTTTGGGTTCACGGTTTTTGGAGTTTCAATTTGGATTGATTTAAGCCCTACACCTCTAAACCCAAATTTAGCCCTAAACCCTAAACCTTATTGATTCAGTGTCGCTTCTGGGTTTGGGATTTTTGTGTTTGTGCTTCTTCTTTCTTGCTTTGGAGGAGGGTTTCGGCTTCGGGCTTTTGCGATATGGACTTCGTCCCATGCGGAACATTTCTGACAGCTAAATTCAGATGACGACGGGTTTGGGGTTTAGGGTTGAGCGTTCAGATTTTAGAGAGAAGGTTCAATCGTAGATATTTGTTCTGTTGCCAGCCCCATCTCACACTGTGAGCTCCAACAAAGCTTTGAGTCCTGAACTTACCCCCTGTTCGTAAGGCTAAACCTTTCGGCGCGAGCAACTACTAGCCCTTAAAATTGGGTGCCGAAGAGAGTTTGCTGGCTACCCAGACCGCCGGAACGACCAAAAAGTAGATCCCTTGAGGGGGTTCCTATACGGTACCCTTTAGTAGTTAGGGTCCCAAGTTTTGGGATCTACTTGTTAGATCCTCCTAGCGGTCTAGCTTCACGGTCAGGCTGATGTTGCTGCGAGATGCTCGCAGCCTTTCTGCCAACTGATCTGGCAGAAGCTTGCGAGTTTCGAAGCAAGCAATGCGAGACCTCATTTGGTCCACTTCCTGAGGACCATCATGGCGGCAATTTGAGAGTTACCCGCCCGACCCAAAGGAGCACCTGATCTGTGAAGTTCAGCCTCTGGGTATGTCCCTTGCTGGCTTCGGGTCCTGCACACATCTGCGCATTATACCTATAGTCTCCATTGTAGTTCCTTTTTTTTGGTTTAACCAATTATATATTAAGGATTTTATAAGGCATCCCCAAAAAGGAACTACAATGGAGACTATAGGTACTCAACATCTTCTGTCTTCCCCGAGCCTGTTCGTGGGCTGGCGCGCTGCAAACATTCTCTGGGCCGTCCTACGAGGCTTGTTTGCCTTGCCATTTTGGAACGTTGCGAACTTTACTCCGTGCCTGGGCCCAAGTTGGCAGATGCCGATATACATGGCCGCTTTTGCCGGAGGGCTGGACCCTAAAACCCAAAAGCCTTTAAACGCCTAAACACAAAGCCCTCAAGCCTTGAAGCCCTAACGCAAGAGCCCTAAGCAAAATCAGCTGTGCATGACATACAGTATATGCTGTGATCCGTCCGAGGACGCGATCGCGTCTATGCAGAAGGGACAGCTCGTTCTCTTGGGCAAAAGTCCTGCCTGCGGGTTTAGGTTTTAGGGTTTGGGGTTCAGGGTTTACGTGTCGACGTTTACACGTGTCTTGCAGTACTGGTCGGTGACAACTCTAGAGATCAGGATTTTGAGCTATAAACCCCTAAGAGTCCAGGTGCTCATATAGTATATACATTGGCCTTAATGTAGTCCCTATATAGGTACTTTAGGGCCCATGTTGGGAACCCTATAAGGTTTTGAGACTTTAGGCCCTCAGCCCTGAACCTTGAACCCCTAACGAGGGGTCCAAGGTTGTCAAGGTTCATGTGTTGGGGAGGCTTGCCGGCCGTGCGTTGTGCATTCATAGGGCTTTGGGGTTGAAGGGTTTAGGGTTTAGGGTTTAGGGTTTAGGGTTTTAGGGTTTAGGGTTTAGGGTACGGGTTAGTAATCTTCCTTTTACTAAGCGCGCTGACATCAGGACGTCTTAATCAGGGGTCCACATTGCCTGCCAACGCCAAAGCCATGAACAGTGGAGAGCGGAGTACCATGCCCTTTTTCGTATGTTGATGGGAACAGAATTTCGAACCTACGTTTGGCTCCTGAGTTCTCACCTTCAGAGTTTCGGGCTTAGGACTTTAAGGTTTTTGGAAGATGGCTGCCGAAGAAGTCTCGTCTTCGACTGCCCCGGCTGCCTTATCCCAAAGCCCTGAATCCTCATTACCCGCAAGCCTCAACCACAAATTTCGTAAACCTGAATTCTCGACCCCAGCACCATGCACCCTCCCAGAAGCGCATGTGGAACCTCAAATCGCCTTAAGTCTAAGTGGGCGGACAGGTTGGGGCCAGGAGCATTACAGCATCGGGTTCACATATTGTACGTAATTAACCTGTAATCGGGCTCCTGCATGCGTAGTTGTGGGGTCCAACTATATACTACGTGGGTACACAGGCCTTTCGGGATAGCTTATGAGGATGGTCTTCGGACCAGTGTTTTTGGGCAGGTTTAGGGGTTCTCGGTTTTGTCCAGACCTCGTGGGTTTCAGCAAGATTCTAGGGGGGGCTTTGGTTGTCGTCAGTTTGAGCTACCCTGAGGGTCCAGGTACTTGTTAAGTATATACTTCGGCATCAACGTACCCATATAGGGACTACTTGAAAGCCAAGGTATATACATTATATACTCTCCGGGCACATGGACCCTGGGGTTACGGCAGGGTAGGGTTTGGGTACTGTGATTCCGTCCTTAGCCCTCGTAGGTGTTAATCAACTCCACGTCTCGCTTCGCCAGGCGACACAGATGCGCTGGCCAGTGGCCTCAGCGTTGATCATTGGAGAAAGTATGATCGTGAGAGCTGCTTCTCAGGGCCTAAGTAGATTTTTCACCCCATTACACCAGAATAAGGCAACTCCTACGAGGGGTCTGCCCTTGTTCTTGCGGTGTTGATTTAGGATTTTAGGGATTCGGTTTATAGAGCTTCATCAGGACCTGAAACGGACGGGCGTGGCGAATCACGAACCACGTAGGACAGATTGACAGGAGGACTTGTCACCGTTACATGACGACAATATAGTTGCACCATTTTGCAGTGGCTCGTTTCCCAACAATCGACCGCCAAGGCAGCAGCCGCACCATCACTGCCACCGCTGGGCCACCACCATGTCCACCACGGGCACCGTCAACACAACAGCCGCACCATGACTGCCACTGTCAGAAGAAAACACGATCAGCGATGAGATAGCCGCCGCAGATCCGGAAGAATCATGTAACGTTACATCAGCTTGTGTTGCAAGGTCAGCTTCCCAGTGGAGATCACCTTCGACGAGAAGAAGTTTTCCTTCCAGGTTTCCAGGCCGAGAACATAGCTGCTTTAGGGTTTGGGGTTTAGTGTTTAGGGTTTAGGTTTAGGGTTTTGAGGTATAGCCGTATAGCCCTCATGGAGCCAGCTTCGGGTATTCGCCTGACGGGTCCAGTCGGGCCGACGGTGCTCAGCGCTCATCTTGGTTTTATTTCACCTAACCTCCCA